AATTAAATGTTTTCATGGGTTACGAGCAACTATTAATCGAATAGATAAACAACATTAAGGTCAACATATGGAAGGAGTCTCATGCTGTATTCACACCAAACGTGTTTTGAGAGTCAGGTTTACATAAGAGTCTATGGTGGACGCACGTCAAGGAGCGTCGGGAAGTGCTGTGGCATGTTTAGCACGATGCATTTTGAGGGATGTCAGAGTTCAACATGCTTGATGCACGTTTCACACGTCGAACGCTGGAGTTAGAAAATCAGAACTTTTGCAGCTCATCGTGGTGCATCAACCAATCAGAGACTCCCATATGTGACGTAGTGACACATTTTTTGACGGGACAGTTTCCTGATTGATGTCCAGTAATCTAAGACAGACGGACAGGAGGTCTTTAGCTGAAATTAAGTATGTGTAGTCGGTGTCCTGGGAGGAGATATCGGCACAGATGTGGGTCATCAAACCGAGATCGGGACAAAAATATTTCTGAAAGCGAGCCTCGCCAGCTTTCGGCTCATGGGTGGTGAAGCTCACCAAACTCAGAATGCCTCTGAATTATCTGGTGAATTAATTATGAATTAATCATCTGGTGAGCACGATGTGCTCTTGCTCTAATTAAATAAAGCAAAGCCACTTTTGTTATTTCTTCTGCCATTAAACAGGGACCGGGAGAGGAGGAAAACTAGAGGCTCTCGACGCTGACTCGCGTCAGTTCTTAAAGTGCACAAGCATCCAGCTTGAAGTGATGGACACATTTTTTATGCTGAAATCACATTTGGTGTGAACGCAGCACAAGATTGATTTTAATAAATCAATCGCTCTGTCTCTGTTCATTTGCAGTGCGCTCAACATCAACCAGCTGTCGCAGTAAAAATGGAGGATGTGAACATTTCTGCAGACAGCTTCCTGATCGTTCCTTCAGCTGTTTCTGTGCTCCAGGATACAGTCTGAGTCCAGACAACAGCAGCTGTCTGCCTCAAGGTCTGAGCTATGGTATTACTGTCTTTACTGTTAACATGAAATCTATCATTGTGTTTTTGAGCTCCTGAGACACTTTGTCCACCTGACACGGTTTAGTAGCACTGAGGACAACATGCTGAAAGTTTTTGTTGTCTGTCTGGTTTAGATCCTGTTGTATGTGGAAGACAACTTGTCCATTTTGCTCCCAGGATTGTTAATGGGCAGATGTGTCCTCCAGGACAGTGTCCCTGGCAGGTAGGTCCAACACTCAGGTCTAATGCTGTTAATCACTGTGACTACAGAACCCACAAAATCACCTGATCTATATTTGTCTCCCATGTTTGACTAAGCTTTCTTTGGTATTTTATCATCAAGTTGAGTGATTCTTGTAGAATTTTTTCTGAAGTTGACACTTGAGTCATGCTAAAGAAGACAGGTGTCTTGGTCCAGGTTTGACCATGAGCCCATGTGGTGTTTTGTTATTAGACTTCTGTGCTCATCATGGATTGTTCATAACGAACATCATGTTCAAACATAAGGGTGTCCATATGTGCWCTTGGCACCAGGACACCCTAGGCCGCAGTTCCATGATCGACTTTGTCATCATCTCATCTGATCTGCGACCGCATGTCTTGGACACCCGGGTGAAGAGAGGGGCAGAGCTGTCAACTGACCACTACCTGGTGGTGAGTTGKCTCCGGTGGTGGGGGAGGATGCCGGTCAGACCTGGCAGACCCAAACGTATAGTGAAGGTCTGCTGGGAATGTCTGGCAGTCTCCTGTCAGACGGAACTTCAACTCGCATCTCCAGGAGAACTTTGAATACGTTCCGGAATAGGTGGGGGACATTGAGTCCCAGTGGGCCTCAATGGGAGTTCGCTCAACCAGTCTACATGTGTTTTGTGGACTTGGATATAGTGTTCGACTGTGCCCCGACTCCCTCAGTGACTCCTGTGGGAAGTACTCCAGGAGTATGAGGTACCAGGCCCATTGATACGGGCTGTTAGGTCCCTATAGAACCTGTGTCAGAGCTTGGTTTGCATTGCCGGTCAAAACTTTTATGAACAGAATTTCTAGTCACAGTCAAGGTGCTGAGCGGATCTGTTTTCGTGATCACATCTCTGCTTTTTGCGGATGATGTGGTACTATTGGTTTCATCAGATCGTGATCTCCAGCTCCCATTGCAGTGGTTTGCAGCTGAGTGTGAAGCGGCCGGTATGAGGATCAGTGCCTTCAAATCCGAGACCATGATCTTGAGCCGGAAAAGGGTAGAGTGCCTCCTCCGGATCAGGGAAGAGGTCCTGCCTCAAGTGGAGGAGTTTAAGTATTTCAGGGTCTTGTTCAAGAACAAGGGAAGAATGGAACGGGAGATTGATACGCAGATTGGTGCTGTGTCTGCAGTGATGCGGGCGCTGTACTGATCTGTCGTGGTGAAGCCAGACCTGAGCCAGAAGCTCGAAGCTCTCGATTTACCGGTTGGTTTATGTTCCTATCCACATCTACTGTATATTCAGAAGCTTTGGGTTGTGACCAAAAGAACAAGATCGTAGATACAAGCGGTTGAAATGAGTTTCCTCCGGAGGGTGTTTAGGCTCTCCCTAAATTAGAGATAGGGTGAGAARCTCGGTCGTCCGGGAGAGACTCAGAGTAGAGCCGCTGCTCTTCCACATCGAGAGGAGCCTGTTAAGGTGTCTTGGGCATCAGGTTAGGATGTCTCCTGGATGCCTCCCTGGTGAGGTGTTCTGGGCATGTCCCACTGGGAGGAGGCCCAGAGGAAGACCCAGGACACGCTGGAGGGACTATGTTTCTCAGCTGGCCTGGGAACTCCTTGGGATTCCCCCGGACAAGCTGGCCCAAGTGGCTGGGGAGAGAGAAGTCTGGGTCTCTCTGCTTAGGCTGCTGCCCCATTGACCTGATCCCGATAAGCGGAAGAAAATGGATGGATGAATAATTCTGACTTTTTGTTTAGGCTTTGTTAACCGAACACCACAAATTCTCCTGTGGAGCCATCATCCTATCAAACATGTGGATTTTAACTGCAGCTCACTGTGTTCACCTGAAACCTATCGCCATCTTTCATGTCACCGTTGGTAAGGGCTTTATTTTGTAATTCAACCTGTTAGTTATTCTGAGTTTAACTAGAATTTGTTCCTGTGAAGGTAAAAATGACCTGTTTGTGCGTGAGAAAACCGAGCAGCAGCAGCGTGTCCTCAAAGTTGAAATCCACCCCAGTTACAACCAGTCCACCTATGACAGTGACCTGGCTCTGCTGAAGCTCCACCACCCAATAAAACTGAATACCTACGTGGTGCCCATCTGCCTCCCCGCCCAGAACAGCACCTTCCCCCGAACCCTGTCCATGATCCGCCAATCCACAGTGTCTGGATGGGGTCGCTTGCTTCAGTTCGGCTCTCCTGCCCGGTATCTGCAGCGCCTGGTGGTGCCGAGGGTCCACTCACATGAATGTCGCCTCCACACACAGCTCAACATCACCAAGAACATGTTTTGTGCTGGGCGGAGAAGTGGCGGCCAGGATGCATGTGAAGGTGACAGTGGCGGTCCGCTGGTTACCCGCTACAAAAAGACCTGGTTCCTGACGGGTGTGGTGAGCTGGGGGAAGGGCTGTGCCAGAGAAAACATGTACGGAGTTTACGCCAAGGTCATCAACTTCCTGGACTGGATCCAGGACACAATGGCCATTGGCTGAAACTAGTCCAGACCAGAATTTCAGTCCAGTTTTGGAAAAAAAATTCATTGTAATAAACATGTAATAAACAGCAGATTTGTATCTCTTAATTTTAGCCTAATCTGTTTACAAGTTTACAGTAGAAAAACAAACAAAAAAAGAATATGTAATTCCAAAATAGTTTTAACAGTTTGCTATATAAAGTTTGGTCTTTAACAGTTGATAAAAATTAAAATAAATTACCATTATTGTCATTTGCTAAAGCTTTGATGTTTTTCAGTTAATTTATTTGTCAGATAAAAAATTTTAAAAATAAAATTTTCTGTTTCTTTTAGCATCTTCCTTTGACTGATTTCACGCTTCTCTCTGAATATTTAGCTCCTCCTGTGATTCATTTAGCTCCACCCTCTAAATATTTTGCCCCTCCCCTAATTCAGTTAGCTCCACCCTCTAAATATTTAGCCCTCTGCTGATTCATTTAGGCAACTGTGGTTGAGTGGTTATAGGAAGTTATTCCTCTAATATGAGAGTTGGCAGTTTGGTTTCACTGCTATTCACAGGCGAGCAGATCTGTGCACTCCTTCAAATCTTTTTCTGTGCCCTTAAATCTTTTTGAGACAAATTTATCTATCTGCATACTCTGGTGCTTTTTCTCTAGGTTGGACTCAAATATCACCAATGATGAGTCTTTCCATCAAGTCCTTTTCAGTTTCAAGATGATTGAGGATCACCTGACACACATGGGTGGTCCTTCTTTTTATTGTCATAATTCAACATACAATGATCTTCTTGGTTTGAGTTTATGTCAACCATCTAACAATCACCAGACTACCAACATCAGGTGCTTAGTATTGGGCTCAATTCTACCTAAATCTTTGACCATTTTAGTGTAGACATATACTTTTAAATCCTTCTATTTCACATTTAAATCATTGAGATGGGTTTTCTATAAAGTGGAACTACAATGCTTTGGTCTTAATTCCTCCTTATTGTAACTCTACAAGTCCTTCTCTCACCACTTTTCAGAGGTATGTCAACTCATTTTGATGCTGTTCATTTAAATCCAAATGAGGCACTTCACCTCCCCTCCAGCATCCAGACCGGTTCATTCTGGGTAAACATCTATATAGCAGCACAGAAACTTTTTATTTCTGAAATAATTAAAAGATGTCAACAACAGAAGACTTGTCCATCCAGCCTTACAAATTGGAGTCAGAGTCTGACCCAGAGGAGAAAGAAGACAACCAAATTATAATTGGTAAGTCCAGACATTTTTTGGCAGTTCTGTCACAAATAATTTGACATAATAGTTCAGAAAAAGTCATAGGTTAAAAAATGTGACCCAAACAGTACATAAAGATATCTTTGCAGCTCAGGGAGAAACTAAACCCAACTTTTCTGAACCCCTAGAGACACCAAGTAACAAAATGCATYTAACAACAAGGTGGACTTTGCATTTGTTCCCTTTAAATTAAACTAATAAAAGAAAATTATTGGATTTAAAACATAATGTAGAATTAAAGAATCTGATCTTATAGTCAAAAGTTTTAGTTGAAATATTTATTAAACAGTGATTAATAATATTCTGTTCCTGAGTCTGAGTGGATCGGCCTGTTTACATTTCATCACAATGTTTCATGATGTGACCAACAGGAGGGATATACGTGTGTGTGTGTGTGTGTGTGTGTGTGTGTGT